TAATTTCGCTTCATTCTATTTTGAATTCTTTCAAATGAAAAAAAAAAATCAACACTTAATAACGTTCGCCAATTCGAGTTTGGGGTGAACGTTTCAGTATTCAATTCGAGTTTGGATCTATTTTTTTTAAAATTAATATCGTTCGCGAATTTGAATGGTTAGAATCGTAAAAAAATACCATATTCTTTTGTTCGATACGATTCGGTTTTGAATAACCGAATTCAAACGGTAAGCCCACTAGGAGGCCAAAGATTTCATAAATTCTTTGGTAAGATTCTTGGGGAAGATTTTGGAAGATTTCATGCGCGCACACACGCATATATATGTATATATATATATAGTTTTTTTATCAATTTCTTTGACTTTACGTGAGGTAACTATAAAAAGTAACCCACTAAATTAGGGCAAAGTTCATGATATTGAAAGAAGCTTTGACAATTTAAAACTAATGTCTCATAATTTTTTTCCATGTCTTCTGTAACATCTGGTGGAAGACATAATCCCCGTGAGGTGTCATTCATGCATTCATTTTCATATGGTCTTATTGGTCCGTATGTCTTTATCCAATGTACTGTTCTGTCATTATCCATTGGAGGAGTAAATAGTTCAACAAAGATAAAAATGTCACAATGCTTTCTTAATTTATCCATTTGATTTATTACCATCCAAAATAAATAAACGTATAATATTATTCAATATATATTGATTTGACATGTAGGAAAAGATCATTGTCATCTGCTTTAGTGTTGAGTCTCAACACTTGAGCACACGGTTCAATTATGTTCAGTTTTTAAACAAATATATATAATTCCGTGTAATTGATGTATAAACATTTTTTTACGGATTCGTTAGAAATGAATTGAATCAATAATAATTATGGATATGATAATCATTTAATGGATCCTTACATGGTTTCTTTGTTAGTCCATTGATAACTTGGGGGTAAAACCCAAATTTGGATAATTCAACCAATGAAATGGAGACGCAAAGCGTTTATCTCGTCCCGAATTCAAACCTCAAATTTAGAAAAAAGCGTATAATCCAAATTACATGATTGGTTACCGATCTCATGATTAATCTGGACCTCAGTTCATAATATCCTATTACCCAAAAAACAAATTTGGAGATAAAATGATAATCAATGTTTTCTTTGCTTGTAGATTTTGATTGTTTGATTTTGTTGGATGTTTGTTTTGATCTGTTCATCTGCTCATTTTGGCAATTAAGATACTACGGTCGAACTTGACACTTTCTATTTATGGAAAGTTTGCAACACAACTTGGATAATATGGGGAGAGGAGACAAATCGCATGTGTTACTGCCTTGAAAATGAGTGTGTCGACTGCACCTTCTGTACATCGATTATAACTCATATGTTATAATATTAATATTATTATTAGTTGTTATTGATTGGGATTATCGTTTCTTAGGAGCCAAATTACGAAAACTTGATGGGTGATTATGTTGTATCAGAAGTTAGATACAATGTTGTAGATTAAAGGATGAACATATGTAAGTGTAAAGATGGGCAATACATATAAAGTTTGACAAGACGGATTAAAAAGAGGATGCAAAATTAAACGATCATTAAAAGATGAGGAATATCATGGCATCTCTAAAGTCTATATATATAAGATTATAGCCCGTACTGTTTTATATTTCCTTTTGTGCATATGTTTCACATCAATGCACAAGCAAATGGCTTGGAATATCAATTTCATATCTAATCAATGAATAGTGCTCATTTTATTTAATTATCCCCGTAAAGTATTTTGTCAATTTTGATTATCATTACATATCTAATCAATTTATGAAAAGCACCTTTTGTAATTAGCTAAGAAAAAAGATACTTCGACGGTGAAAAAATTCTTAGGTCTCTGCATGAGCTCTTACGTGTTAGAAGTGACTTTTGTGGATCACACAAAGATAACCATTTAGAATTTCATTTGAAATACCCTTCATTTATAGTGAATTCTTTAGTTTTTCATTACCATCTAACCGAATTTCAAAAAAGAAATTTAAGAGCAAGATGGGATTAGATCACTCCCTAATTAAAAAAAAAAACAAGGAGCATGAGAAATGTGATGGAAATCATGGAGTTTATTGTAACGTCCAATCAAGGAAGAGGTAAATTGGTAAACACTTGCAAGCCCATCAGTTTGTGCCTCCGGTAAGACCATGTCCCATGGGGCCATGGAGGTTCCGGTCCGGACAGCTGCTTCACCACTACAACAACTCTTTTGCAAAAGATAAATGTCTTTTCCTTTTTTCCTCTCAATCTCTTTTATCCGATTTTAATATCATTATTCTTCTTTTATTATATATATATATATATACAATCCTTGATAGATTTGTTGAACGGTCTTTCAGATATCATATATGGACCATTTACAACGTAAATATACGATCTTTTTGAATTATTAGAGATCAATGATACTTCTTCGTATCGATGGTATTAATTAGATCGTGAATCTCAACGTAATTTGAACTCTAGATTTATAAATCCTACAAAATGATATATATATATATATATATATATATATATATTAAATCTAAGCAATATGTATATTCGAAGAATGGTAATGATTTTCTGTATGTTGCATCATTCTTTTAGATAACAATGTCGGGAAGGGACAGATGAGAAGAACATAGAGATGAGAGACTTTGTGATGTCATGAAAAAAATGTCATGTTGTGTGATAGGTAGGGGCCAATTATTCTGCTCTTCATATTTCTTGGGTTGACAATAATTTCGAGACAAATGGGATATATATATCTATATCTATATATATATATATATATGTATATTGGATAATAGAGAAGAGAAAATAGGGTAAAAAAAATATGTACATTGCTTGGAGACCGAAGAAGGTGGGGAACAAAGACAGACAGAAGTGGAAAACATAGAGTTGTACATATGAAATGCGTATAGGCATATAGGGAGCATAAATGTGTTTGCACAATTTGAATGGGAGCCTTGGAATTTTAGTAGGAGAGAGAGCGGGGAATGGCCAATCGCATCACAATACTATTTATTTAACCTAAGTTGTTTGTTTAGGGTCTGAGAGTTGAGAATATCTTGATATTAGGGGTCCACATTTTGGTGATTAATCAAATAGTCGAATTGAACCGAACACGATATAATCGTAATTGAACCGAAAATAAAAACGAGATGATTATGATGGCTCTAAATCCAAAAAATTCGAAACTGAATTGGATAAAAAAAAACCAAAAAACCCGAAAATATCTTTAAAAAAATAAGTTTTTTTTATCAATTCCGAAACCGAAACCCAAAATGGTCACACGTATTTGTTATATAGCATGCACACTCTGATAAACATAAAGAGTCTCTTTTAAAGATGAATTCATGCTTTTGTTTTCTTAATTTCTACCTCTCAGGGAGTGCATGAGTAACAAATTTTTGGGTACGTATGAAAATCGATTAATTCGTGTTAGGGTTAAAATTCTTGGATCGAGTTACTTATCATTAGTTCGGGTCTTAGATTCGGATTTGGAGATCGAAATTATGACTTTTGAGTAGGCAATTATATTCATATATATATCTTTGTGTATATATATATAGGTCATTCATTCATGTATATGATTTTGTCTTTTCTCTCTTCTTCTAGCTTATACTTTAGATTAACATAACCTATATACAAGATGTAACACTATTATAAAAACTTTAATCATATTTTCCACTACTCAATTGGTTGTATATATGTTGGATGATTCAAAACCGCTATATTTAAGGTGCTAGATTTGACCTAATTATTAGATTCATTAATTTTGTCCGAACTTTGAAGAGAAATTTGCTAATGGATAGCTCTATAAGTCTGTTTACATTGACCATTCCCAAACGTGTGTTGGGTTAAAGAACGTGATGATGATGATGATGATGATGATGATGATGGAGAACATTTGGGAAAACATATGGTTTCTAAATATGGTTTTAGACGACCCTTTTTTTATACGTTTTGGTTATAAAATTCGTGGTCATTATATATAATTATATATATATATAGCTTGGTAAAGATAATGTAATATATTCATGGAATGTGAGTGGGTCTGAAAGATAATGGCCTTTTTTGGTGTCCCACTTCCCTTCAATTGCTCCCTCATGAAGAGAATTGTCTTTGCTCTCTAAGCTGTTCCAGTGCAACTTTTAGCCCCCCACCCAATATCTTATACATATGTGTGTATGTGTGTATATATATATATATATATGCATGTATGTTCTGTTCTAGTGGAAGAGATACAGACGTATAGTTTATGTGTGGCCTCATCGTTTTTGGACTTTCTTAAATATATTATTTACTAACAAATATTGTTATAATTATAATATTACTAGTTTTTTCATATTAAACTTCATAATAAAAATACATTGGAAACCTAATCTTGATATATGGCGAGATTGAAGCAGCTAACAGCTACCGGTTTGATTTATTCGGTTACACTTAATTTAAGTTCAGTTATTTCGAATTATCAAAATTTATAATCTAAGGATATTTGATTTTAATGGGCTCCATTATATCTAATTAAAAATTATAACCAAATCTAAATTCGGTTTAGTTCGATTCGATTGTAATAATAAATGAACTGAATTTCAGAACATTAACTATAGAAAAATGTATATCTCCATTATGATAATATTCAGTTGGTTTTTTTCTGGTTACAGGTTAATTCAGATTTAATATTAGATTTTGAAAATTTATGAATAAACGATTAATTCGATTTTTTTCAAGGAAAAAACAGAAATGTCTGCACTGCCGCCACCCTACCTTGCCCCAATTACGTTATTTTGGACATGCGAATTCAGGGTATATGTTTATGGGCCTTGGTTAGTGGCCCAAACAGAAACAAGATGGGCCTAGTTGGTGGTGAAGCAATTCATCTTAGATTTATATTTTTATTGAATAAAAATAATTGTTATTTTAAAATTGTTTAAATTATTTGTCAGAGATATCTTGGTGACGTCATTTATCTTAATAGATAAGGCATTATTATTTCCCCTCTAAAGTCGATTGGAATCGACCCCGATCACGAAGAACACAGTTGAATTTATCGTCTTAGGGTTTCTGCTTGTTCTGTGCGCGAAGATTCGACGATGGGAGGAGGAAGAGCCATCACCACGGCGGCGAAGGTGGCCGGGATCGGCGTCACCAGAGGAGGATTCACCGGAGGAGCAGGATACTCGGCGGTGCCTCCGGCGACCGAGCAATTGGCGGTCAGGAACGCTCCGTCCACAAGGCATATCTCGGCTGCGATCGCATCGGCGACTCATCAGATCGCCGACGACGACGTGGCGGTTGTGCAGAAGCCGGTGTGGGATGATTGGGAGTTCGCCGGCGTTGAGGAGGAGCTCGGTGGTGGCGGTGAGCCGATTGCTAGGGTTGTGTTCAGCGGCCCTCCTACGCTCCAGGAGGCGAAAGATGCCACCGAGGACTTGAAAGAAGCAATTGATATGTGAGCTCGTGGATTCACTTATTTAGATTTGGATCTGCTTTCAATCATGAAATTTGTGGAACGATTTTAGCATTTAGTCCATATTTAGTGATTCGATTTAGCTGTCTACTTGTATTTGTAACCTGTTAACTTGCTATGTCCAAACGTCTGCTGACTTTGTTGAATTTTCATGGATTTCGACATTGTTAGGGTGTACTTATCATCTCAAAAGACGTCTCCAATGGAAGGCCCAGTTGCTGCAGGTCCTGTTTCGGGCATTCTCCGAAGTGTTCAATCCTCCGAGAATGACGTTTTCAAGGGTGTTCAATCAAGGGTGTCTCCTGTTCCAAAGGTTGCACTGCAGGCATTTGCTTTTCTGAGTGAAAGCCCGGCTGCCCAGGTTTCCATTTACTCTTTTTCGTGGTGTTCATTAAACCTGGGATTTATGCTTTATGCTCTCCGGAATTTCTCTTGGCTCAACTTGATAAAGTTTGGTGCTTGTATCATTCACTTGGTTGACTCCCATAGTTGTTTTTGACACTTGATATTCGTGAATATCCTCGGATTCTTATGAAATGAATTTACATGTCTCTGTATGTTACATCTGTAAACACGGTCAGGGCGAATTAAGGGGATTAGAATTGGGTGAAATGTAATCACCAGGGCCAGTACATTGTTAGTGTTATTTGTACTAGGAAGTACTAGTACCTGATATCGTAAATTGTCTCCTTTTTCCAGTCTGTTGTAGCTTCAATTGCGTCTGATCCAAAAGTGTGGGATGCCGTCATGGAAAACAAGGATCTCGTCGAGTTTTTGGAGTCTAACAAGACTGGTAAGAAGGTTAACAGGCGTTTAATTAATCTCAGGTACCGTCTTTGCCATGCCTCACCGTTGAACAAAATCTGTAATTTTCAGGTGCCCACTTGCACGATAATGAATCCCCAAAGGATGACGACCAGTACGAATCCTCGGTTGTTTCCGAATCTGAAGTCACCACCGAGGAAAAAACTAAAGAACCATGGGGTTTTCTGGAGGATATGAAACTGAAAGTGGTTGATCTGGTGCACAATGTCTCTGCCTACTTCGGTGGCTTGTTTGGTTTGTCCTCGTCGAGCGAGGAGAGCAGTGACTCGAGTTTCGATGGTAAAGCCGAGTCATCGTTCTTCCCTGATGGCCGCATCATTTTCGGGTTGGTTGTGATCGTCATCTCCGTGGTGGTTCTAAAGCGTGCTTGAAGAGTTTTCTTACTCGCTGTCTTTACTTCGTAATTTGCCGAACTTACCGTGCCTGAATACAAAAGTACGTCTCTGTAAAAAATATATAATATAGTGGCATGTAATATGTGGTTTTTGGATGTAATTGCTATCTGTCTACGACTCAAAGTTTTAATGAAACTTATGTGAAACCCTTTATATTGGATTTTATTTCGTTTTGATTTCCGTTTGAATTATTCTTCTATTAACAAAAATGCAGGTCCCTAAAAAATTTCGTTTTTCTTGTATAATAAATTTATATTTTATTAAAAATATATAACTATTATTATTTGTGATTTGATTTGGATTTAACTTATTTAGTTGGTGTTTGATTTTTGTAGTAAAACAAAACGAAATTGTCATCTGGTAATGTAATTGTAAACTTTCGTCCTCAGCGGGCAATATGCAGGGGTATATCCGTCATTTCACAGAGACATTTTTTTTATTTTTAGGTCACTTCGTGTCGATATGTTCCACCTCCATTCGCATTTCCCTTTTCCCAACGATCGACCGATTTCGCTAGGGTTTTCGCTTAAACCCTTTTCCTCTACAAACCCTAAGATTTCGGTCGGTCAGTCGCTCAATCAAATCGATCACTATGGCTTTCAGAATTCCGTCGGTAGCAAGGTCTGCGGTGGCGGCACCCGGCGGTTTAAGACGGCTTTTCTGCTCGACCTCCGCCACGTTCCCTTTTGCTCCGCCGCAGCAAAACGACGCCGCCCCGGGCCGTCCCCAGGCGGAGCCCAGCACCAATCTCTTTGTTTCCGGTATGAATATACTTCTCTCTTCCTCTCTGGTTCTGGGTCGAATCGATACTTGTTTGTGTGTTTTTGGTTGCCATTAAGATTTGGGAAATGTTAGTGAGAATCCGTTGCTTCTCGCTTTCGGAGCTAGATTATGCCCTGAAAAGAACAACATCTCTTGTCGTCTCTGATGATGTTTAGTTAAAATCATTTACTTTTATCGGAAAGGAGTATTAGTCTTATCATTTCTCAATCGCTCTTATAGATTATGTGTTTCCTATTTGAGAATAACATCAGCTTATGAACAATCCTTTGTAGTCTACTGCTTACCCTCTGTGAGATAAGAGGGAAAGATAGCATCTTTGCCCTAACCATTTTTTGCTTTTTCGGAGATTCCGATTCATCGGATGGTGTTAGGTTAAGGTGTTTCCTATTTGTGCTGCATTTTAGTTTTTAGTTTCTTTCTCTAGCAAAGGTTTGCTCGTTTCTTACAAAGTATCAGGAGTCTTTTCTTGTAGTAATCAGATTGTCGATCGCATATGTAATGCCCGGATGTTTACCTGGACTTGGTGGAGTTCACGGAACATCTTGCTTTCATGGCCCATTTGGGGATTGCTTCCTGTTTCTTAGGGCTACAAATCATGTAATTGTTTGGTACATACACCTTTTTTTTTCTACATTTTGTTTGATGTCTGATGCCCAAAAAAGAAAAAGTTTGATTGTGTGCCTTCATTTCCAATATGTTTTTAACTGTCTTTGTCTACTTGATTGCTGTGGAATGGAATCTGATGATATTTCTTTGACAGTATTAGCCTTTGTAACGAGAATAATTCAAACATATGTTATTATGTTAGCTCTGGATACTGTCTCTTTGTAGCAGATTATTGCGGTTGGTTTGTTCTAGAACCGGTTTGTCTCTCCCGTACATATGGGATTCCGGCACTGATTTCTCTGTTATTGCCTATGTGGAGATAACTTGTTTACTTCACAATCCATACATCCTTCTTGTTACATATGAACGGTATCATCACGCTCAAGGATTATATCATGGTAATGGTTCATGATGCCTGATTTTTCAGGGCTTAGTAAGCGCACCACTTCAGAAGGACTTCGAGATGCTTTCGCCAAGTTTGGACAAGTGGCTGATGGTTTGTTACTGTCGATGCATCTCTTTTTGTAAAACTTAGTATAGAGACGACTAACTAAGCAATGTGACGTATTTTCTCACGTATGTCGGCAGCTAAAGTGGTCAAGGACAGGGTGTCGGGATATTCCAAGGGTTTCGGTTTCGTTAGGTATGAAACAATAGACGATGCTGCGAAAGGGATAGAAGGCATGGATGGGAAGGTAAGTAAAACTTGTCTGTCTATCTATCTAGCAAGAGTATTCTCCGACCGTTTCTTTTGTTTGAACGAGTTATATATACCGCACGATCTGACCCATTTCTCCGGTGCAGTTCCTAGACGGATGGGTTATATTTGCCGAGTACGCACGACCAAGACAGCAACCAGCGCCACTGCAACAGAACATGTCACGTCCTCCGTACGGAAACTGGTAGAAGCAGCTCGTGAAGCATCTCTGTCTTCCCTCCTTTTGATCATTGGTTCAACCACTACATTAAAAAAAAAACAATAATGCTTGCCCTTTTGTATTATTGTGAAACATGGAAAGATCATGAACTCGGTTTTTTTTTTTTTGGGAGGACATTGTATTGTGCTCTCCAATCCATCACCATGAATTATGATAAACCCATTTTACAAATCGAAGGCTTTTCATGATTTTTGGCATCAACTTCAAATTCGCTTAAACGTAGAATTTGTAAGAAATTATCATTAATATAAACGGTACAATGCTGAAAGCATCAACGGAAAATCAGCGAATAAAAACAAAACACGAGATAGAAACACAACGAAAACGAATCGTCGTGTCGTCGTTTTTTATTTCCCGTTTTGAAGTTTTAAGAAATTTTGTTTTGTCAACTTATAGGATTTCACGTGGAGGTGGGCGTTAAATTTAATAACCGAAAACGAGTAGTAGGTGCATATTTGACCTGTTTTTTTTAAGAAAAAAATATTCATGACAAATTGATGACGGGTATATATATACACACACACACCATTCAAACCAGATGTTTTAGTTTTATACATTTTTATGTTATAATTCTGTTTTTTTTTTAAATATAACCTTTGGGGTTTAGATATGCGTAATTTGGATATTCGAGAGGTAGATATCAAAATGGGTATTATTCAAAATATCCTTTTTTTACCAAAATTATTTCTCCACATATATCTTTTTTATAGAGGTGTCCATTTAACTATAACGATATTATAATTATATTAGTTATAACGTTAAATTTATATTGATTACACCAGATCATCATATTCATACTTTATATATCAAATTAATCAAATGTTGAAATCAATATAAATTTTATATTTCTATCTTAATCCATATAAATCAATATGAATTTGACAATGTGGATCCTTTGCTAAGTATGTAATATCAAATTCTTGGGCAAAATGCTTACACACTTTTTTTGTTATGATATCGTATGGAATGAGAAGCAATCACATGAAGAGTCCAAATCAACCGTTCTGTTATGTTCCGTCTTCATCTTCTTGGCATAATGCACTTAACAACCAAAAAAAAAAAAAACTGACGTCCTCTTATCCGTAAATGTTTGAAATTTCAAATGTTTGAAAATTTTTATTATTCAAACTCTTTTTTTTTTTTTCTGCGAGGGGAATATTAATGTAATGTGTGGAGCGGTGCCTTTGGCAGATACTGATACACAGGGGGGACATTAAAAGCTCCCACAAACAAACACAGAGACTCAAAACCCAATCTCAATCTTCTTTTTTTTAAAAAAATAAAATAAAAATACAAATAAAAGCAAAGAAAGATACCCTTAAAAAGATCACACATCGAAATTGTCCATTTTCAATTATGTAAGTTTTAACAAAAATTGACCAAGGAAATGCAAACCAAATCATATATATTTGTATGTTGATTCGAATTTTAAAAATGATTTTAAATGAATTTTAAAAGAAAGTTAACTAAAATTGGTCGAATTAAAATTTGAAAACCAAATCATATATATTTCCATTTCTTCATTCGATCTTATTTCTCATTTGGACCGCTTAACTAAATACAGCTTCATTACCCCAAAAAAAAAACTAAATACAACTTGTTTCTAGTTATGGTTCTTAAATTAACAGTTTTTTTATCTGCTACTTATGGTTCTTAAAATTTAAGTTCTTTGGGACTCGTTTATCTATTAAAAAAAATCATATTCATGTGTTTTTGTATAATGATATTCTATTTTTCAATTTTTCTTAAAAAAATTTATTTGTTTTAAATCTAGTTTTGGTTTTTCAATTATCTTTTACTAAATTTGAATTTGATTAATTAATGTAAGAAAAAATATGATAATTTATAATGTAAGTGTTGAATACTTTCATCAGTAAGTCTGGGGAATACTGATTTTTTTTAATTGAAAATAATATTTTCATTATACGAATGAAAGTTTATGTTTCACCTATAATAAGACTTTGAATGCAATTCCTTTTTTTCTGAAATTGAGAATTTTGACCCCAAGCTTGAAAAAAAGAAAAAAAGCTACAAGTTCCTAAATCTATGTTTAAAAGTTAAAGTGCCCTCGTTGCCTTTAGTTCTTTAGGATTTTCTGACATTAAGGTAATTGGTAAAAAAACATTTAAGGTTGTCTTTATTTCGAAAGAATTTTATTTTTTACCGTCGGAAATTTAGGGGACCAAAGATACCACTCAGTGCAATAAATTGCCAATCTGACACTTTCAACGACCTTTCATAAACAAAATTCACCACTTAACCTCTATATCTTCATTTCAATAAATCACAAAATTTCTCACTTGACACGTATATTCTAGATGAAAATAACCATGGTTAAATATTGGATGATTTAGTAAATGGTTAAGATTTTTTTTTTAAAAAAAATCAAATTTAGACCCAAAAGAAAAATCCAAATAAAAAGATTAAAAAATAATATTTCTTGGTAAAACAGATTTTGAATTGGATTCGAATATAAATATAATTGATTCAAAATGAAATAAAAACTAAATAGATATATATTTACCAAAAATAAAACAAATACAAACCTAAAAATGTTGAATTGGAATAAAAAATTTACCATTAAAAAAACCTAAAATCTCAGGAGTCAAACCAAAATCTCTCGCTCTCTACAACTCAAATGGACTTTCAATAATAACTCCAAAAACAATACAAACAAATAATCTAATTTTATTTTATTTTTCTAAACCCCATTAATCTCTAAGGGTTTGCAAATTACCACAAAACAAGGCAGCAAAGATTTGGGATTTAGCAGATAGAGCTCCTCAACGTTTGAGTATAACCCAACCTTACCGGCTAATGAATCGAACCCATTCACGTTCAACCCATTCATCTCCGCCGGATTTTCCACCGGCCGGTGAACTCTTCCGGCGATAACGCGGCACACTATCAACGCCTTCCTCGCCGTCCGATCGTCGTCGTCTCCTTCCGAGATCGAAGCGAACGCTCTCCCACTCGTCGACGTCGTGAAAACTCCGATCCCGTTGTTCATTTCCCGTTTCGTCGAGAACCCTTTTCGGATTATCCGACAGACACAGCAGGTTTCAGACATACAGAGACTTGTCGACCCGTTTAGGCCCAGAGAACACGAAATGGTCGTGCCGTGAAACCTGAGTAGTTCGTTCCCGTCGGCGAGACATCTCGGGTGTTTCTTCGGGAGCTTGCTTGCTCTGATTTTCACCGTCTCTCTGTATTCTTCGAATCTTGCTAATGTCTTTTGCATGTTGTGGACTTTCAGAACTCGATCTATCCGTCCACAGTTGTTTTCGGACTTTAACCAGCTCGTTCTGCATATTATCTCCACGATCTTCCTCGACGAATCTCCTTCTACGAGCTCTGTCACTGAAACATGGAGAAGATTGGACCGTAAAGATTGGAACTTTATGAAGATTTTGGATTTTTGGAGGGTTTTTTGAAGTTTAATTACCGGCGTGTTTGGAGAGATGATGAGCTTCCGCAGCTTCGAGCTTGCTGAACTGTTCGCCGCATTTGTGGCAAGAGACCGTGGAATTGCTTCCATTAATGGCGGAATCTCTGTCCAGAGAAACCCTTCTGTTGGAAGGAAACCCTAAACCACCAAACCCTAACCCTTCTCTGTCTCTATCCGCCAGAACAAAGGAACTCTTTCTTGTGCCGGAAGCAGTCCCCGACGATTGGCTCCTGTAAGAGGACGAATGGTTCAGGTAATGCACCGGCGTCCCCGGCCTCAATGTTCCGACAAACGTCGACCCTCCGGCGGTTTCCGCGGCGGAGATGTCTCCGACTCCGGTGATCTTTAGCTCGCAAGTTGAATTACTCAGAATCACTTCATGGGTTATCGGGTTGAGAAACTCGCTGCTTCCGATAGAACGAGGACTGCAGCTGGGCGGCTTCTCGAAATGGCGTTTGCTTCCATGGATTACGTCTTTCAGATTCGCGATCGATCTCGAACATCCGGAGCGACCGACGGCGCCGCCGCATCCGCCGCCGCCGCCGGAGGAGGAGGACCTCTTGGTGGATATGGCGGCGAGCTGTTTTCTGGATTTGGGGTCGTGAACATCGGACGGCTCAGATTTGCAGTGGAGGGACTTCTTCAGTGAAAACCAGACAGTGGGCATGTTCTTGTTCTTGAGATCGTTGCCTGTTTTGTCTCTCTGAAGCTTCTTTCTATGGCTTCTCTTGCTTAAAGCTTCCATTTTTTTACCCCTTTCTCTGTCCTGTCTTCTGGAGAATCTGTAAAAAATTAAAAAAAAATTGGGGAAAATCTTTCAATTTTTTTTTTTTGAAAATCTCTTCTTCTGAAATCGTCGCTTCACTCCTAAGTGTGTATATATATCCTCTCGACGGAGAAGATAACAAGACACAGGGAAAGTGCTTTGCGTCTGATGAAGAAACACGATAATCTGTTTGTCTTTTTCAGCCTGTTGTGGTGTTGCATATTGAATGAATCGTATCTCTACGTATCTATCGACTATATACGCGTATATGTACACGTATGCCATGCACCACCACCGCTGTAATAAACGGAAAATGCATTTATAATGGCCGTTTCATTTGAATGTTGGTCATGTGTTTCATTTTTCTACCATTACCAAACATTTCTCAACAATTAATTGGTCCTCATGTACATGTTATCTTGTGTTTTTTTTGTTAAATTAATATAGATTTTCAAATCTAAATTTCTTGATTTTATAACATGCGTGTTGGATTTCATTTTGTTTCAAATTTGTTTTTTTTCTTTTATTGTTTTTAGGGAAAATGATATTTTCCTACATCAATTTTACCAAAACTGACCTTTTCATACACTAATTTTTAATTTAACAAAAAACTACACCCGAATCCAAAATTTACCAAATTACTATACAGATTGTTTAAATTAAGGGTAATTAACAACAAAATCGAAAACGACGTTAAGATTAGTAGATTTCTGTTAAATGGCCTGCTGACGTAGATTGACACGTATACTTTTTTGCCACGTCAGCACAACACATCACATGAAAAAAAGAAAAAAATTAAAAATTAAAAAAAATTAAAAAAAATTAAAAAAAAATTAAAAAAAATTAAAAAAATTAAAAAAAATTATAAAAAATTAAAAAATTAAAAGTACATATATATATATATATATATTCATATCTATATATAAATACAAATATAAACATATATACCCCTATATTTGACACGTATATTCTAGATGAAAATAACCATGGTTAAATATTGGATGATTTAGTAAATGGTTAAGATTTTTTTTTTAAAAAAAATCAAATTTAGACCCAAAAGAAAAATCCAAATAAAAAGATTAAAAAATAATATTTCTTGGTAAAACAGATTTTGAATTGGATTCGAATATAAATATAATTGATTCAAAATGAAATAAAAACTAAATAGATATATATTTACCAAAAATAAAACAAATACAAACCTAAAAATGTTGAATTGGAATAAAAAATTTACCATTAAAAAAACCTAAAATCTCAGGAGTCAAACCAAAATCTCTCGCTCTCTACAACTCAAATGGACTTTCAATAATAACTCCAAAAACAATACAAACAAATAATCTAATTTTATTTTATTTTTCTAAACCCCATTAATCTCTAAGGGTTTGCAAATTACCACAAAACAAGGCAGCAAAGATTTGGGATTTAGCAGATAGAGCTCCTCAACGTTTGAGTATAACCCAACCTTACCGGCTAATGAATCGAACCCATTCACGTTCAACCCATTCATCTCCGCCGGATTTTCCACCGGCCGGTGAACTCTTCCGGCGATAACGCGGCACACTATCAACGCCTTCCTCGCCGTCCGATCGTCGTCGTCTCCTTCCGAGATCGAAGCGAACGCTCTCCCACTCGTCGACGTCGTGAAAACTCCGATCCCGTTGTTCATTTCCCGTTTCGTCGAGAACCCTTTTCGGATTATCCGACAGACACAGCAGGTTTCAGACATACAGAGACTTGTCGACCCGTTTAGGCCCAGAGAACACGAAATGGTCGTGCCGTGAAACCTGAGTAGTTCGTTCCCGTCGGCGAGACATCTCGGGTGTTTCTTCGGGAGCTTGCTTGCTCTGATTTTCACCGTCTCTCTGTATTCTTCGAATCTTGCTAATGTCTTTTGCATGTTGTGGACTTTCAGAACTCGATCTATCCGTCCACAGTTGTTTTCGGACTTTAACCAGCTCGTTCTGCATATTATCTCCACGATCTTCCTCGACGAATCTCCTTCTACGAGCTCTGTCACTGAAACATGGAGAAGATTGGACCGTAAAGATTGGAACTTTATGAAGATTTTGGATTTTTGGAGGGTTTTTTGAAGTTTAATTACCGGCGTGTTTGGAGAGATGATGAGCTTCCGCAGCTTCGAGCTTGCTGAACTGTTCGCCGCATTTGTGGCAAGAGACCGTGGAATTGCTTCCATTAATGGCGGAATCTCTGTCCAGAGAAACCCTTCTGTTGGAAGGAAACCCTAAACCACCAAACCCTAACCCTTCTCTGTCTCTATCCGCCAGAACAAAGGAACTCTTTCTTGTGCCGGAAGCAGTCCCCGACGATTGGCTCCTGTAAGAGGACGAATGGTTCAGGTAATGCACCGGCGTCCCCGGCCTCAATGTTCCGACAAACGTCGACCCTCCGGCGGTTTCCGCGGCGGAGATGTCTCCGACTCCGGTGATCTTTAGCTCGCAAGTTGAATTACTCAGAATCACTTCATGGGTTATCGGGTTGAGAAACTCGCTGCTTCCGATAGAACGAGGACTGCAGCTGGGCGGCTTCTCGAAATGGCGTTTGCTTCCATGGATTACGTCTTTCAGATTCGCGATCGATCTCGAACATCCGGAGCGACCGACGGCGCCGCCGCATCCGCCGCCGCCGCCGGAGGAGGAGGACCTCTTGGTGGATATGGCGGCGAGCTGTTTTCTGGATTTGGGGTCGTGAACATCGGACGGCTCAGATTTGCAGTGGAGGGACTTCTTCAGTGAAAACCAGACAGTGGGCATGTTCTTGTTCTTGAGATCGTTGCCTGTTTTGTCTCTCTGAAGCTTCTTTCTATGGCTTCTCTTGCTTAAAGCTTCCATTTTTTTACCCCTTTCTCTGTCCTGTCTTCTGGAGAATCTGTAAAAAATTAAAAAAAAATTGGGGAAAATCTTTCAATTTTTTTTTTTTGAAAATCTCTTCTTCTGAAATCGTCGCTTCACTCCTAAGTGTGTATATATATCCTCTCGACGGAGAAGATAACAAGACACAGGGAAAGTGCTTTGCGTCTGATGAAGAAACACGATAATCTGTTTGTCTTTTTCAGCCTGTTGTGGTGTTGCATATTGAATGAATCGTATCTCTACGTATCTATCGACTATATACGCGTATATGTACACGTATGCCATGCACCACCACCGCTGTAATAAACGGAAAATGCATTTATAATGGCCGTTTCATTTGAATGTTGGTCATGTGTTTCATTTTTCTACCATTACCAAACATTTCTCAACAATTAATTGGTCCTCATGTACATGTTATCTTGTGTTTTTTTTGTTAAATTAATATAGATTTTCAAATCTAAATTTCTTGATTTTATAACATGCGTGTTGGATTTCATTTTGTTTCAAATTTGTTTTTTTTCTTTTATTGTTTTTAGGGAAAATGATATTTTCCTACATCAATTTTACCAAAACTGACCTTTTCATACACTAATTTTTAATTTAACAAAAAACTACACCCGAATCCAAAATTTACCAAATTACTATACAGATTGTTTAAATTAAGGGTAATTAACAACAAAATCGAAAACGACGTTAAGATTAGTAGATTTCTGTTAAATGGCCTGCTGACGTAGATTGACACGTATACTTTTTTGCCACGTCAGCACAACACATCACATGAAAAAAAGAAAAAAATTAAAAATTAAAAAAAATTAAAAAAAATTAAAAAAAAATTAAAAAAAATTAAAAAAATTAAAAAAAATTATAAAAAATTAAAAAATTAAAAGTACATATATATATATATATATATTCATATCTATATATAAATACAAATATAAACATATATACCCCTATATATAAATATATCTATATATACATACAAAATAAAAAAATATACACATATATATACATACATCTATACAAATATATATACATATACATACACACAAATATATTTATATATACACACATACACATATATAAATACATATATGCGTATATATATGTATATATACATATGCATATATATATATATATATACATATATACATACATACAAAATAAAAAATACATATATATACATATATATTTATATCCACATACAAATACAAATACAAACATAAATACTCCTATATATAAATATATCTATATATACATACAAAATAAAAAATATACATATATATACATACACCTATACAAATATATATGCATATATATACATTGGAATATATATTTATACATATATATATATATACATATGTATATATGCATATACACATATATGTATACAAATATATATGCATATACACATATATGTGTATATGTATTTATACATATATACATGCATATGTATTTATATATGTGTATATGAGTATATATAAATATATTTATATGTATATATATTTGTGTAGATGTATGTATATATATGTACATATTTTTTTTATTTTGTATGTATATATAGATATATTTATATATAGGAGTATATATGTTTATATTTGTATTTGTACGTAGATATAAATATATATGTATTTATATATGTGTATGTGTGTATATATAAATATATTTGTATGTATGTATATGCATATATATTTGTATAGATGTATATATATATATGTATATTTTTTTATTTTGTATGTATGTATAGATATATTTATATATAGGAGTATTTATATTTGTATTTGTATTTGTATGTAGATATATATATATATATATATATATATATTATTTTTATTTTTATTTTTTTTTAAATTTTTAATTTTTTTTAAATTTTTTTTAAATTTTTTTTTTCATGTGATGTGTCGTACTGATGTGGCAAAAAAGTATACGTGTCACTCCACGTCAGCAGGCCATTTAACAGAAATCTACCAAACTTAACGTCGTTTTCGATTTTGTTGTTAATTATCCTTAATTTAAACAATTTGTGTAGTAATTTGGTAAATTTTGAATTTGGGTGTAGTTTTTTGTTAAATTAAAAATTAGTGTATGAAAATGTCAGTTTTGGATAAATCGGTGTAGGAAAATATCATTTTCCCTTGTTTTTATATTTTTCACTAGATTTGTTATTCAATTCAATTCAACATATTCAGAAATAAAAAATGATCAAACTAGCAATACACAAATATATGATTTCTTTGGATGGTTACTGCACACATTGCATGCTCCTAAGAAAATGTTATGCCCAAAGAAAACAATTGAAGAATTCAAACAATATTACATTAATCGACATGCTCTTTTGTTACAACAACGCCCGTAAAAAAAATTATTAGAAAAGGGACAAAAAAGGGGGTGATTTTTAATGTTTTTTTTTGGCACGGACAAAATGATTGATGAAAGTTCAAAACTTTCAATGAAATGGGGAGCACCCAAAATTTTAGGCATTTAAATGCAAGACAGGAAAGCTTAAAGGGCCGAAATAGAATTTAAAAAAAAAAACATTTTGTTTTCTTCAAGTTTGCTAGAATTGTTATTAAAAAAATATGTAGTTTGGGTTGTAATTACTTGTATATAATAAGGTTTTGACAGAATGCAAATATTGGTCGGGCAAATGGATTCGGCTCATAGAGATGCAAATTCTCCATCTGAAAAGTAATATTTACATAAATTTCCCCGATTTTTTTGAAGATTTAAACGGATCAAATACTCGATAAATTTTCGTATTATAAAAAGGTTTGTCCCATAAAAAATCTTGAGGTTGTTAAAATGTTCCACGAATAATCCTGAACATGTAACTTTCCAATAAAACCCTCGAATTTGGGAGAGGCTTCCATATTAAACGGCAAGTTTGCACATTTAACCTCTGATTATATTGACTGAATTTTCTAATATCGGAGTGATGATGTGGCACCGTCGGAATGTTGACTCAATTGCTAGGGGTGGCGATTTCGGTTATTAACCGAATAACCGAACCGAACCGAATCGAATAAGACATAATCATATCCGAACCGAACCCGACATCAAAATCAAACGGTTATGATTTCTTTAAATCCGAAAAAATCAAAACCGAACCCAACCGAATCAAATAAAAAATAACCGAAAAAACCGAAAAAAAACGGACAATTTCTTTGAAAAACTGAATTTTTTACCGAAACCGAACCGAACCCAAACCGAAAAATAACCGAACCGAACCGAAGCGAAGTTTATATAAAAACTGAATGGTTATAGTTTTTCTATAACCGAAATAAACCGACCGAAACCCGAATTGGCCACCCCTATCAACTGCCACGATAATATTGCTGATATCTATCGAGTTCTTAATATAAACGTATATAGAGAGAGAGAGGGAGATGGGAGGATTCAGGGGGAGTAGGTGAGTGTAATAATGGCCAAATTAAATTCAAAAGAATACGATAAGATAAAATCGAAGATACATGATATGTCCTTCTGAGTTTTTGCAAAATAAAAAAATAAAAATCAGAACCATAATTTCACACACACACACACATCGCATTCACTGGTCTGCCCCAATTTCTCCCCTTCTGTAACCCACATTTAATATCCCACCTTTCCCTTTCATCCACCTCCATGTTATAAATTCCCATGCATATACATATATATATATATATATATGTATGTATGTATATGCATTTCCTTATGATTATGGTTGGCAAGATTCATATGCATGTGGACATACATTTCTGTTTTGCACATAAATGTCTAGTGCTATCCACCAGCTTTTGTGTAACCTTTGAAAGGGTTTTGTAACATCATGCATTTCAATTTCGATGCCCAACACACACACACACACATATATATATTACAAGAATCACACTGTTTCCTTTCTCACACATATGCACATGTATCTCTTCTTTTTGGAAATTTTATAGATATAGATAGATGAATTTAATTAAATATAATTCTATGGGGGAGGAGAATATTCATTGTCAAAAAATTGTGGCACAATATTGGTGAGGTTCAGACTCCATGGTTTGACCCAAAATAAATAAATGGGCCGAATAAAGGTCTTGATTTGTCAACATTGGGGGTAGATTATTAAATTTCGGCCCAATTTATTTTAGTTCATCCCATAATTTATTTTAAATTTAAAATAAAATATTATTCCCCTTTTCGTGAAAATCTCGGGATTCTCTCGTTCCGTTGTACGAAATTAGTTAAGCGGTGGGTCTCCAACTTCGAATATCAGCCCTTCCCGTAATTCCAATCCAACGGTGGATAATATTGATCCGTGCACTTTCGTCTAATTGGCTATTACTTTTCTTGTGCAGCTATATGTATTTTCCAAGCGGGGGTTGTTATTGCTCATTCCCACTTTATTCCCGAGAAAATCTCCAAATTTCCTATCCTCCGTGATATTTCGTGAGAGAGTTTCCGATAGTAGAGATGGCGGGTCGGGGCAAAACTCTGGGATCTGGTGCGTCGAAGAAGGCTACGTCTCGTAGCAGCAAGGCTGGGCTTCAATTTCCTGTCGGTCGTATCGCTCGGTTCCTGAAGGCTGGGAAGTACGCCGAGCGTGTCGGAGCAGGAGCTCCGGTATATCTAGCCGCCGTCCTCGAGTATCTGGCCGCCGAGGTGATTTTCGTCTCTCTCTATCTTCAATTGACTGATCATCAAGTTTGTCTCTTTCTCTGATTGGTTCTCGTTATGCCCTCGTGAATCTAGGGTTTTGAACTCGACGTTAACCTATCGTTTTGTTAGATTTCAATTATGGGTTTGATTATCTGGGCGTTTGAACTCTCTCGCTTGTACAATTCTGTCTATTGCTGGTAATTTTGGATTGGGTCAGTATATATTTTTTTCTCGTCCGACGTTGAAGTCTACCTTTTGGTCTGTTAGGGCTCAATTGTTCATCTTTCTACATTTCTCTATCTTTGTTTTCGAATTGTACTATCTGGGTTTGGGATAATCGACATGAACGTTGATTCGTTTGCATTTCTTTTTTTCGATTTCTGTTACTTTGGTTGTAGTCTTCTGGAGTTTCCTAATTAGGACTACGGATTTTTGATACTTTCTGTATTTTGCTTACACCTTCAGACGAACCAACTCCGATTTATGTGTTATTGAACGTTCGTTGCAATGTAATGATAGGTTCTCGAGCTCGCCGGAAATGCAGCAAGAGACAACAAAAAGACCCGTATTGTGCCTCGACACATTCAGCTTGCGGTGAGGAATGACGAGGAACTGAGCAAGCTTCTGGGCGATGTCACCATTGCCAATGGAGGAGTAATGCCCAACATCCACAATCTCCTCCTCCCCAAGAAGGCTGGATCTTCAAAGCCTGCTGATGAAGACTAAACTTGGAACCAAAATCATGGACAGGAAGTCCCTGTCTGTGCCACATGTTTGGCTACAAAGCCTGGTACCCACGATATTAGCTGTAGAACATTTAGCTTTTGGTTTTTCATTGATTAGGGTTGTGTTCTTCCCACTTTCATTTTCCAGTTTGTTTTTTCTTCCTTGCCTTGTGTTCTTAGTATTTGTAAACTTCTCACAGTTTGTGTGAATATATGAAGTATCTTTTACAAGTTATGAAAGGAACAATTTTTTCTTTCTTGTCTCGTAATATTGTCCCAGATAGTTGTTGCCTTTCCCATGTTCATTGTTGTGCTGCAAAATCATTGTTACAGGACGTAATCCCGTGAGCTAATTTACAGTTATATAGAAGCTGGAATGGGTCGGGTGCTCCGAATCAAACATGAAGTAGGTGGAACAAAACAAGGCCGAAGTGTAGTTATTGTGCTCTTGTCGTAACTAGACAAACTGTTTTACCATTTTGACATCCTCTCATTTCTGTGATTCTTTTGGCTTTGCCAGGAGATGGCAACCTGTTCCAGACATCAGGAAATGTATTTTCAGAGCTTTTTAGGATGTCACCATTGGTCTGACAAAAAAACTTACTTCTTCTGTCTAATGATCTCGCACCTGTTGAGAGAGAAAAGAAGGATCATTTCAATGGCTTATGGTTCAGGATTATTATCCAGAAACTTCAATGAGGGAAAACTTTACAAGGATGATACAGGCAAATCAATTGTTATCACAACAAAACCAGGTTTATTTCCAAGATGAATCGTGAACGCCGAACACATCAGAAGTGCTGGATATGAAACGTGGCTGGAGGGTTGTTTTAGTGTTGGTGTTATCCCAGTGTAAGCTATTCCACCAGTCTGGCTCTCCTCTTATTTCTTTGACTCTATGAGCATTCTTGGAATTAATGGGTAGTCTCTTGACAAGTTTGCATTTGATGACCTCCACTTGTTCCAGGCATCCCCATGTCTCTTCCTCGGTACATAGTCTCGTCAACTGCGGGAGATTTGTCAACTTTATGACACGCAGATTGGGCACGACAGGTTCGATGGAAGCTGGAGCTATCTCAGGATAATAGTCGAACAGCACCTGCAACTTGTCACAGAAACTAACCCGTATCTCTTGCAGGTTTGGTAAGAAACATATGAAATTCCCCACAGAGAGCAGGCATTTGAGCTGCCGGCATCTGCTGACTTCAAGTAATTTCAGCGACTCGAATCTCAACCCCAAATGACCAACCAGTTCTCTAGTGGTTTCCAAGTTGACACCTCGCAGATGGAGTTCCTCGAGGTTAGGGAGGAGATCAAGTTGTGCTGCACATCCACCAGCAGGCCTTAAGCTGCTGCCAAAGCTCTCAATTGTCAGTGACCTCAAGACATCAAAGCTACTCGTGCTTTCGATATCGATTACCAAGTTTTCAAGCATTGCATTAAGACCCCAGCAATGGTTCACAACTAGAGAGGTTGCGTTAGTAAGTAGCCACCCGATGGATGCTTCTGAGACATTGAGACTACTTATGGTTACCCTCCTTTTGTCATGTCTAGTGGGTAAGGAGTTTGCAGTTGGGCCAATAAAGAGTTGGAATTTCTTCAACTTTCTGATCCAGGAGATGTTTTCGGGGGAGAGAGAGGGGATGCCCACAACCCTGATGGAAAGAACCAGTAACCGATGAAGGTGTGTGATCTCATCAAGTGTTGCTTGCCCCTCTTGTACTTGTCCTTGGATGCCCCAGTGGTAATGGCTCAGTGTCATGTCTAGAGCCTCTAAATTCGATAACTTGGAGATGATTCCAGCGGGAATGCTTTCGAGATAATGTGTTCGAGAAAGGTCAAGCAGTTTCAAGCTACTCAATGCTTCTAACCCTCTCGGGAATTCCTTTATACGAGTGGCACAGAGATCCAAAAGCTGAAGTTTTGTAAGGGCTTCTAAGGAAGGCAATTCTTCTAGGTAATAGCAGTCCCTCAAGATGAGAGAATGCAGGTTATGAAGCTGACTGAGGGAGTAAGGCAATGCCTTTATATGTGTCCCACTTAGATTCAAGATTCTCAGAGCTGGAAACGCTTGCAAGAAACCTACAGGAACTTCTTGGAGCTGAAAGTTACCTTGTAGCAGAAAGGCAGAGACTTTTTCACACTCTGCACTACAATCAGGAAGCCTTTCAAGCTTGTTATTCATCAAAGACACTCTTCGGATAGAAGGAACAAACTTTTCTTGCGGAATCTCAATCAAGCCCATGCCAGATGCGATAAGGGAGTGACAATCATCTTGGGAGGAAGACATGACCCATAAGGCAAAATCACGGACCACATCGTGCATTTTAACCGTGCCATCACGAGCACCTTCTTCTAACAAGCAAGCGTCCTTCAAATTCTCGACCAAGGTAATTCCTTCATTCATCGAATACTTGTGGTTATCCTGCTCATCTATGAATCCTTCTGCAATCCAATACCTCACCAGTTCTGTTACTTCAATTGAGTAATCCTCTGGGAACAAAGCGCAGAAGAGGAAACAAGGTTTCATCTTGTCATCAAGCAAGTCGTAGCTCAGTTTCAAAGGCTGGTAGATATTTTCTTCGATGCTCTTGACCCAAGGCACTGATCTCTTTAGCTCTTTCAAGGCATGTTTCCACAGCTTGACCATCTTCTTCCCTCGCATGGCCGTCCCCACTGTGATGATAGCCAAAGGCAATCCACCACATTCAAGGGAAATTGCCTTCGCCAGTGGTCTAATACGGTCAGAACTTGCTACTTCCCCAGCGTTTTGGCAAAACAATTGCCAAGCTTCTTCTTCATCTAAGCAATCCACTCTGATGTCAACATCTGTCTTCATGCTCCGGCAAACCTCCAGGAACCGAGAAGTCAAAATGACCTTTGAAGCCTCGTGTTCTTTCATCTGTGGAATGCCCAGAAGGTTTAGGTCAATGGGTTTCCAAACATCATCGAGAATCAGAAGAAAGTTACAGGCTTTTTCGAGTCTCCGATGAATCTGTCTTGCCAGCTTCTCATCTGTTTCTTCCAACTTGATCACCATCCCCAATCTTTCTGCAATTTGCATTTGGACCCTTCTCAAGTCGAACTCTGCAGACACAGTTGCCCAAATCACCATACCAAATGGTTGCTTGCCAACCTCTTCATGAAGCTTATTGTTCAACGCAGTGACCAGAGTCGTTTTCCCAACTCCTCCCATACCCCAAATCCCAATCTTTTGAACCTTTTCACTCTTCAAAATATCCATAATGTTTGCCAACATTTGTGATGTTATTGTTTGATTTTGAATGAAAGGTCCAGGTATATATTCAACTCTTTCATTTGAACCATCCACATGAAATGTTTCGATTAGATGTTTGCCTAACTTCTCAAAGGTTTCAACTTTCTCGAGAATGGTTACAAGATCCTTACCATTCCTACAAGACAAAGCACATGAAATAGACTGTTTCTCCTGAAAGGAAGAAGATTCGTTGAAAATTTCTTGGACATCTGTTTGCCATCTCCTCAGCTGAACCTGCAATGATCTGCCTGTGATCTCCAATGTTTCAAGGGTCTTATCCACTTTGTACGCAACCTCCATCAGCCTATCCAATGCATTCTTCAGAGATGTGAGGTTTGACTTGAATCTGATTGTATGAATGGCTCTAGAAGAGATTGCTCCGCACATGGCCCGAGTTGTGTCGGCCAAGATTGAGCCCAAGATCGAACTCAACAATTCCATAGCAAAAAGATGATTCAAGAAACAAGACTTACAAGCGGATGATCAGATCATCAATCTTCAAACGTTGACTTTGAAATGATAAACACCACATAAAAGAATGCAAAGACCTTGAATGTTCAAAGCATTTGTTGGAGGAGTTTACTTGAGGTTAGACTTGTCAAATTATTTGGGTCGGGTTACAAACAAACAAAATTTAAATGAGTTGTACTAACCCATAAAACCCGACAAACACATTCCATCAATCAAACCATAATTATTTTATTATCTAATTCATTATAATTTTTAACAAGGTATTAATAATATTTTATAAATAATTCAATTTAATTAAAATCATCAAATTATTAAGATAAAGTAAATTCATAATATTCAATTTATTTCTCTTCTAAAAATGTAAGTAAATAAAAATTTAAATATCTAAATAACATGTCCTAGTGGTTAAAATTTATTAAATCTTAATAACTATACAAAATTTTATTTATCCAAGTAAAAAAAATCTATTATTAGATTGGGATTCGAATTGAAACTACAGATTCGAATTAAAGTAATTTTAAGTTACAACTATATACAGAAAAGAAGAATGTATAAGGATCAAACCCAATAAACAAAATTTAAGAATGCATGAGTACCAACCTTATCTAACATTATCAGGAAATCACGAACAATTATAAACAAATGCAAGCCCTCGTTTCACCAGCTTATTCTTCTCTCTTCTTCTACCACCTTCTTGATGTCTCTGCCTCAGCATTTTGGACAATCTTTCAGTGCTTCGTGAAACCCACTTTCTTCACCTGCACTGTTCATCTCCGAGTTGAGAAAGTCTCTGGCTTTCGACAAAGCATGACCCATTTTGTGAACAGTCCCCGTTAAGCCATCTGCATCGATGCCTGTAGCCTTTTTTACGTTTTCAAGTTCACTGCTCAAACTCGAAACTTTCTGAAGACCAAGGCTGCGGTAATTTTCCTCCGTGTCTTCATTAGTTTCCTCGGCCATAATATCTTCAGTTTTCACACTAGAGAAGCTTTTGCTCTCCCTGGTGGTACGAGCAGCTCTAACACCTTCAGACCGGATTATCTCTTGAACCACGAAATGGAGGAGGGTTGTTTTCCCATCAGTTCCCTTTACGTCTGACAACTTCAACAGTGTGTCCAGCTTGAAAGCCTGAGCACCACCCCTGAATGTACCATCATTCATGCGATTGCCCGTCTTGAGAACTGCTTCAAGGAGCTTCAAGAAAAGCCGGCTGCTTCTAAGTTCTTTACAAGCAACCTACAAAATGTATCAAGGAAGACGCATTCAAAGAAGAGAAGAACCCAAGAGGAAGACAGTGCTATTATTCTCAGCCAATCAGTTTTAAGAACAGGTTCTGTTAAGGTTAACAGGACCTACCTCTAAGGTGGCAAATGATTCAGTAACAAAGGTCATTTCTTCATCGAGAGTACACATAAAAAGCAGAGCCTCTAGTCGCTTGAAAGCAAAAGGGATATCAATCAATGCTTTTAGGAAACGTTCAGCTGGTCCTAAATGTGCTATTTCTCCACAGTATAGTCTTAGCTTTAGTTCTTCGTCAGCTGTTGGTGCCATCTTCAATAGAGCCTGAAGAAATTCTACCGGGAGCTCATTGCCTGATTCAACAATATATGTTAGAGCATGATGTCACAAGGGACACGAAGAAACGGCTACAAATATAAGTCCACTGGAAATATTGATTTAATTGGGTTTTCTGATCATTTTGCTGATATAGGCACAGATAGATTATTACTTGAGCTTTAACTATTTTCATTTTCCAACAAAAGAAATGCAATGAGAGGGAAGCTACCTTCATGAAGTGCGTCGCGGACCTCTTCACTTGTTGTATTCAGAGCACGCAGAAGGATAGACAGATTCTGTGCTTTCTTTGGATCAAGAATCTGAACAAATTGTGGTAAGGCAGATTGCGAAGACAAATCTTTCCTTTCACCTTTGTTCTTGTCTGCAGTCGCATATCCAAATAGCGACTCTATCATCTCTTCATTGAACCTGTAATGCATCACAAATGGATTCTTATCAGCATCCGTTCACAACAGAAGAACAAAATCGCAAAATCATGCACGCAGTTGCCCAACAGAGGAAAACCCAAAGAGGAAGCTGTAACTCACTGGAAGGATCCTGTTCTTATCTCATTCCAAACCATTGAATGGTCAGGGTTAGCTTGCACTTTATCCCAGAAAAAGGGTTTCAACTTTGTTTTAGGAGCGTCATCTTCTGAAGGATTTACAGATCCAGAAGACAACTCTGCAGATACAGTTGCCCAAATCACCATACCAAATGGTTGTTTGCCAAACTCTTCATGAAGTTTATTGTTCAAAGTAGTGACCAGAGTCGTTTTCCCAACTCCTCCCATACCCCAAATCCCAATCTTTTGAACATTTTCTCTTTTCAAACTATCCATAATGTTTTCCAATATATGTGATGTTGTTGTTTAATCTTGAAATGGAAGACCCGGATATGTATTCAACTATTTCATATGAACCATCCGAATGAAATGCTTCGACCATGTGTTTACCTAGCTTCTCAAAGGTTTAAACTTTCTCGAGAATGGTTGTGAGTTTCTTGCCATGTCTGCATGACAAAACACATGAAGCAGGCTGTTCCTCTTGAAAGGAAGAAGATTCGTTGAAAACTTCTTGGATTTCTGTTTGCCATCTCCTAAGCTGAACCTGCAATGATCTGCCTGTTACCTCCAAAACATTAGGTTTTATCCACTTTATATGCAACTTCCATCAGTGTGTCCAGTGCATTCTTCAGAGACGTGAGGTTTGACTTGAATCTGATTGTCTGAATGGCTCTGGAAGAGATTGATCTGCACATGGCACGAGTTATGTCTGCTGAAAAATTACAATCACACGATTTTTCAATAACCAGAAAAACCAAACTGATTCTATTTCTCTGATACGAGTCAAGTACACTTCAACCTTTCCAAGTAGCACTCAACTCACCCGGTCTTACTCCCCCTGAGTAAGACTTCCCGTACCACAAGAAATTCTACCAGTAACACACACTATGTGTGCAACGCACACCCCGTGTCTCCCTAGACAGCGTCTAGGCCTAACGAGCGGTTCGTCTGTAACTTAAGACTCCCCCTCAGGTAAACTCCCGTTCACTCAGAAATCTCTCACCAGTGTTTCCCGTACATGTGCTTTTCCGAGATTACAGACTCTTCTCTCTCAGAAAACTTAATCTCGCTACCTTTGACAATCACGTCTTCAGTCTATATATATCCCGTCCATTGATTCTCTCCATATCTTCATAATATGCATTTTTCCTTTTTCTTCATTGATGCAACTGTCTTCTTTCCTTTTGCAGCTTCTTTCCATTTGTGTTTTCCAGATTCAGCTCCAAACTTCCATTTGTTGATTTGAAGCTTCTAGATGTTGAATATGATGTTTCCTTGCTTTAACAATCTCCCCCTTTTTTGACTTTCTGCTTGAACACACTAAAACCTCACACAGCACAGAAGCAATCCATAGCAACTAGGATATAACTATCCATTAAGTTCAACAAGTTAGGAGAACGACAGGAACTAGCAAGAAAACAACAGAGATCAGCACAACAGACGAAACTACAAACATAAACCGAAAAACCAAGTAGCTGATCAGATATGATGATCAGCACAACACAGATCAACTTCACAGAACTGAAGTTTCATTCACTCTGTCACAGAAGCGAATCAACTTCATTCACTCTGTTCTCCAGTTTCTTCTGATTCTCCTTCCTCCTCCTCCTTTTCAGCCTCACTTACTACTTCATCATCTTCATCCTCACCCATTTTTCCTTTGCCTTTGT